TCAAATTCACAGAGATCCGCCTGCCTCTGCCTCCCGAGTGCTGGGATTAAAGGCATGCGCCACCAACGCCGCCACCAACGCCTGGCTCAATACATGGTTTCTTTGTGTAGCTTTGGAGCCTATCCTGGACCTTGCTCTGTAGACCAGGCTGGCCTCAAACTCACAGAGATTCGTCTGCCTCTGCCTCCCAAGTCCTGGGATTAAAGGTGTGCGCCACCCAGCAATTAACTCTGCAGCTCCCACACTATTGAGCCTGTATGATAATGAGTATTCAGAGACAGGTAATGCCTGGCGGGCACTCACCAACCTAAGACAGAGCACCTGTGTGGCCTGGCAGGTGTCTCCATGACGGGTAAGGTGACCTGCTGACGTCCCATGCAACCTAAGTCAGAGGCTCATTTTTTAGTAAAAGTGGGACCTGTAGGGCCCTGGCCCTGTTTTGGGTAACTGTTGCCTTGCTTGCTGACTTTGACCTTGATATCCTCCCTATGCTAATTCCCTGCGGGGTTCCACCCTCCTGAATGCTTAAGGGAAGTTCCTTGTCTGTATATCCTGCATAATGGGCGTTAACGGCTTAGATGCAAGATTGTAAATATCAGTAGTGAACTTCTACCTTCCAGGGTCTTCCCATTGTGCTGTAGGTCTGTATTTAAGACCTCCTTCCTCCTTCAATAAACGGCATTCGGCATTAAAAAATAAAAAATAAAAAAAGGTGTGTGCCACTGCCGCCCAGCTGGGCACCTTTCTTGTCCCATGTCCCTATAACTCTCCCCTTTATCTTACCTCAAACCAACCCTGCTTCCTCAGAATTGGGCATGAAACTAAAAATGTGAGCCCTCTGATGCTTGGTGTCTCTGGTGGCCATCCTCCTGATGCCATAGGGCTCCCCGTGTGTCACCTCACCAGCTGAACTCAGGTGCCCAAGGACAAGCTTCACAAGTATCTGTTTAGCCTCCAACACAAACTTCCCTCCTTTGGTGGCCCAGCAGTCAACACTCACCTTCCGACCAATCACAGCTCTTCTTACAAACATCTTCAGTGTATTCAGTCCAATTAAAATTGCCCCCTTGACACCGCAGGGCCAGAAGTCAAGGGGTTCATTTATTTGTTTGCTTTCAGGATTTTTAAATTTTATTTTCATTCCGTTACTTAGGTGGTTTGTTGCTTTATTTTGTTGTGAGACAAGGTCTCACCTGTGTAAATAGACTCACCTTAGACTCTTAGCAATCCTGCTCCCCCTGCTGAAGCATCCTGCAGGCTGGGGTTTCAGGCATGCACCACTCAGCATCCTTAGGTTTTAGTCTCCAGATCTGAGTGAGGGCCACCCACAGAAACCCAGCAGGAGGAAACCAGCCTGCTTGGATTAGAGACACCCTTCCCTGCTCCTTCACTGCAGAGACCAGGCCCACCCGGCCTGTTGTTACAGTTCCTTGCTCCTTCTCTTCAGGCCCTAGACTGGTGCTTGGATCTAGGGCCAGGATGCCTGACCATTCCAGTTTAAGTGTCTGTAACGGGCCTTCTGTTTCCAAGGCAGAGTTACACATGGTAAAGCTGGACAGGATTTAGTGCTCATACAGTGTGACCTTTCACATCAGGCTAGGCGACTAAATCATTGTCCTGGCCCAGGGAGACAGCTCGGCAGGGAACGGTGCTTTTAATGTCCCTGGAACCCAGGGAAAGGTGGAATGAGAGAACAAGCCCAAACAGTAGCACTTACAAAGAAATAAAAACCTGCCCCCAAACTCAAAAGCCTTTCTCTCCTTTCTAACTGGGTTCTGGAATTAGGGTCACACCCGCAGGTGCAGGGTCATCACAGCCACGCCCTTTAATCCCGGCAGTGCTGAGCTAGGCCTTCCAGGCCGCACTGAGCCAGCCAGCTGTCCCGCCACCGTGGGTGAGGATGGCAGAGGAAGGGGGCAGTGTGGAGGAGGGGGATGTGTTCCTAGCATTTGCCCAGGGTCCCACTCCTCCTCGGGGGCCCGTGCGGCGCGCTTTGGACAAGATCTTCCTCACCTTCTTGGTCCTCTTCCTGACACTGCTCATGCTGGAGGCTGCTTACAAACTGCTGTGGCCCCTGCCATGGGCTACATTTCGGGACTGGCTCCTGAAGACACCCAAGGAGGAAGAGGCGCTGGAACTCTGAGCATCTCCCTGTAGAGATCCTGTCCTTGCTATTGAGGTGAGAAAGGCAACTCCAGAGAGACTGGGGCGGGAGGGTAGCGTAGGCCAGCACTCTAAGGTTAGGTTTGTTCATGCGTACATGTGTGTCTGTTCGTGGGTGTGTGCACATGAGTGCAGGTGGCCACAGAGGCCAGAAGGTGTTGGATCCCCTGGGCTGGAGTTAAAGGAGGCTGTAAGTGGGAGCCAGACTCTGGTCCTCTGCAACACACACACACACACACACACACACACACACACACACACACATACACACACACACAATTTTAACTGCATATACAAATACAATGTATGTTGGTCATACTCATTCCCCAGACATCCCCTCCAACTCCTCCAGGATTCCCCTCTCTATAAATGAAAAAACACTAACTTTTTAGTCAGCGTACAAGTGACGGGTTGTGTCATTGTGAGTTACCATGTATGTCATTGGGTACCTGGCTCCTCCACGGCCACTCAGCCTCCCACTCTGGTTCCCCCAGCGTCTCGTGCTGCTTCATGTCCCTAGATTCCATTTCTGTCTCTTGAGGCACCCTCCAGACTGCTTCTTCCCCTTTCTAATTTCACGTTCTGCACACATGAGCTCACACACACACACACACACACACACACACACACACACACACCCGCCCCTTTGTATACATATGCTATATAAATTTAAATACAGATTTTACATATGAGAGAATATGAGGAATAATTTACCCTTTTGAATGTAGCTTATTTTGCTTAAGAGCGATTTCCATTTCCTTTGTTTTCCCGAAAATGTCATGATTTAAGTTTTCTTCCCAGCTGACTAAGATCCCACTGTACCAATGTACCTCGTTTTCTTGTCTGTTGATGGGCCTGTGGGGGGCTGCTTCCATTCTTTTGGCTACTTAGAGCACTACAGCAATCAACATGGATGTGCAAGCGTCTCTGTGGCGTTCTGATTTAGCCTTCTCCAATGAGTGACATGTAGGGTCTCAGGCAGTGTGTATGTCCAGAAGCGACAATCTTGGCCCACCTCAAAGTGGACTATAGAAGGGCTCTGGCAGTTAGATAAAAGCCAGAATTCCTCAGGAACTTGTGAAACAGGTTCCTGTCTGCAAAAAGGACGGATTTCCCTTGCCTCTGGAGGAAGGGACATATGACTGTCCATTGACATGTGTCTGTGGTGCCTCTCAGCATATCAGAGCCTATGCTAGCCTCCAGGTTCTACAGTCCCTATTCATAAGTACCTGTTATATATTTCAAAGCCCCAATGCTAGCATCCTGGCCCCTCTTCCCTCAACTCCCAGACCTGTTCCAGCTCAGAGCTTCCCTCCCCCTCCTCCTTAGAACCAGCATGGCGCTCACAACTCCAGTCCCAGGGGTCAGTGGCCCTCTTAGGGTCTTCGTGGGCATCAGATACACAAGGGTGTGTATACACACACACACACACACACACACACACACACACACACACACACACGCACGCGCAGGTAAAACACCCCCACACGTAAGTTCTTCTGAGTAGCTGCAGTTATTGCAAGAACAGAAGTGATCAAACAGTGTAAAACTTACACTTATTTTTATTCATTATATAATGCAGTCTGGTCATTGTCACCTCCATTATATAATACAGTCTGGTCATTTTCACCTCCATTATTCACCCCCCCTCTCACTCCCATGCAAGCTTTTTTCTAAGTCAGCACTCTTCTCCATCTTCCAGCTCTTACGTTCTTTCCACTCCATTCTTCCATGTTCCCTCAGCCTTGGACTTGCTGTCACCTTTTATAACTATTAATTTAAAAAATATATTTATTTTATTTTATGTGTATGGACGCTTTGCCTGCCTGTATGTATGTTCATCACGAGCATGCCTATTGGATTCCCTGGAACTGGGTTACAGATGGTTGTGAGTCACTAGGTAGGGCCTGGGAATCGAACCTGCAAGAGCAACAGGTGCTCTTAAAGGCTGGGTCGCCCCTTTCGCCTCCTCAGGCACCTACCTGCACTCACATCGTGCACAGAGACTTACACGGCACACACATACATAAAACAAAATGAATATTTGTGAAGAGATGGATAACCTTCATTTCAGACATCCACGCAGGGAAACCCATTTTGAGAAACCCAAGGATATGGAAATTAAATCCTTTATTATCTTTAGAGTCTCGTTAACCATTGAGGAACTTTTCTGTTCCCCAATTTAAATGCCCTACGTAGAGGACCGGACAGGAAACGAGGTGGGTTTCTTTAAAGCGAGTTTGAGGTTCGGTTCCTCTGAGAGCCACTGGGCTTCTTGGTCCTGCAAATTGGCAAGATGTCCACCACCTGAGGAATGCAGAAGGACGCGGAGGTGCGATCTTAGCGCAAAGGGTATTTATTCACTTACCCTGCTTCCTCATGGGCACATCTGCGGACCTCACTGTCGTCCCCATTCCCCCCCACACCCCCTTTTCTCTGCAGGTCTCCCGGAGGAGGAGACGCCCCGAGGGATTTTCGCTTCCTTTCGTCTCCCAGCGCTCCAAGCGGCAGTTCGCACGGTTTCTCCGCAAGCCCGCGCCAGGTTATCCCGCGCCCCGCCTCATGCCTGGCAAACCCCACCATGAAGCACACGCGGCCTTCTGGTCAGGATGACCCTCGGAGAAACAGAGGGCCACAGTTCCCACCAGCTGGCTCGGTCGTCGCGTCTGTGGTGCAGCTTGGGCCGCGAGCCCCCGACAGACAGCAATAATAACAATGCCTCACTCGTGCAGCATGCTCTGCTCATTTGTATGCATGTGTGTGTGCACCTGACCGCAGGTAGAGGCCGGGGCTGGACAGCCCCGAGGTGCGCGTCGCCTCTGGAAGGGAAGGGCAAGCTCAGGGGCCCGAGAGAGAGCAAAGTACGGAGTGTCAGGCTTACACCAACCCAGGACAGGAAAAGACTTGTTATTTCGTCCCCCGGAGCCCTGCACAGCCCTAGAGAGCCCAGCTCTTAGGTACCATGTGGGGGTTCCTTCCCCTTCTAGGTGCGGGGGGGGGGGGCTGGATCTTCCCAGCCTCGACCGGACGGCGTTGGGGAGGTCTGAGACAGGAAGCGTCTGACTGGACCAGTGGCTTCGGGGAAACACCAGGTGCAAGGAACTCCACGCCTTCCCCGAGGAGGGCAGTGCAGGCCAGGCCGGTGCCGTACGGCAACATGGCGCGCCCCAGCTGCCAGGAGGCTCCCCCCACCTCAGCTCCTCCCCTTTGAGCGTCCGAGCACTGGGAACGGCGTCCTAGGTGGGCGGGGCACGCGACACTTCCGGTTACTGAGAGGGCTGGGTTCCGTACCGCAACATGGCCGCCCTCAGGTGTTGCAGGCGGAAACCCCGCGGCTTCCGGTTCGTAGTGGGCCTACGGTGGGGGTTGCGGGGAGGGGGGAAAGGAAGGCGGAGGGAACCATGCGAGGTTCTGTGATCCGCGGTGAGGGGAGCCTCGAGAGACCGTTTCAGAGGTGGGGGCCGGGCCGTGCGCGGAGCGGGGGTGGCGGGGCGGGAGCGGCGCGGGCGAGGGATCGGCGGGGCCTGGGTGCCGAGTCCGAGGGGCAGCCGTGTGGTACCCTGCTAGCCCCGAAGGGAGTGAGGCGGCCTAGGGATGAGCTGGGGGAGGGGGGACTTGGCGGGAAGCTGAGACAGGAGCCTGGCCCCACCTGGGGCTGCGAGCCCAGGTATCAGCAGTGCCCGGTGCGGGGCTCGCTGTCGGTTACGAGTCAGAGGGAGTGGGGGGCCGGGGCGCGGTGAGAGGGAGGGACTTGGGGGGGCGATCTCCAGCCTCGGGCCCCGGGGAGAGGAGACCCGGGGAAGGTGGGACACAGCGGTGACCGGGAGGGGACGGGGCACTGGGACTCACCTCGGAGCCACAGAGTTGGTGTCAGGGAAAAACTCGGAGAAGCCGGGCGGTGGCGGCGCACGCCTTCACTCCCAGCCCTCGGGAGGCAGAGGCAGGTGGATCTCTGTGAGTTCGAGGCCAGCCTGGGCTACAGAGTGAGTTCCAGGACTGCCAGGACTACACAGAGAGACCCTGCCTTGAAAAACAGAACAAAACAAAAACAAAAGAGAAAAGGATAAAAAGGGGGAAAACTCGGAGTGGGGGCGGTGTCGTGTTTGAGGGCGCGAGAGAGCACCAGCAGGGTTGTTGGTTTTTGTAGACAAGAGTCAGGAAAACTCAAGAGGCCAGTGTCGGACCTTGTACTGGGATTGGGAGTAACAGAAAACTTCACAGCTGACACAGGGAGGGGAAAACGCAACTGAGAGACCGGAAATTGACTGAGGGGTGGAGTCCAGGGTGGGAATTGAAGATGATCGGGAGGTTTGCCCCCAGAACTGCTTGAAAGGCAGGCATTGAAGGCATTTAGGTCAGGACTTAGCTATTCGGAGACCCAGGGCATCTGATGGGGTGGGGCCCTGCAGGAGGGGCTCTTCCGGTGGTCCCCTTCCCCTTCCAGAATTCTGACCTTTCCAACACTTCCTCCCTTAGGGGGGTTTGATCCCCCATGGCCGCCGCTGACAGCATCATTGTGCTGGATGATGACGATGAGGATGAACCAGCTGCTCAGCCAGGGCCCTCCCACCCGCCCTCCGATCCTGTCTCGCCAGGGCCAGAAGCCTCTGGTCCCTCTGAGTCCCACGGGGATGGAAGAAACAGTCACTCAGGTGGCAGGAAGTGCTACAAGTTGGAGAATGAGAGGCTGTTTGAAGAGGTAAGCTTCGGCAAGGCTCTTCTGTTTTTGAGACAGGGTCTCACTATGCGGCCGGGCCTGCCTGGAATTGTCGAGACGAGGCTGGCCTCGAACGCACAGAGTTGAGTTTGCTTCTGCCTCCTGACATGTGGTTTAAAGGTGTGAACCAAGGGAAAGGGGATTGGCTCTCTTGTTCTGGCCTTCCCACTAATACCATGTTTTTATGTCTCCCTTGCCTCCCACCCTTCCCGTGAACTCTCCAGTTCCTTGAACTGTGTAAGATGCAGACGTCGGACCACCCTGAGGTCGTTCCATTCCTCCACAAACTGCAGCAGCGTGCCCAGTCTCTGTTCCTGGCCTCAGCGGAGTTCTGCAACATTCTGTCCCGGGTTCTGTCTCGGGCTCGGAACCGGCCGGCTAAGCTCTATGTCTACATTAATGAGCTCTGCACTGTCCTTAAAGCCCATTCAAATAAGAAGAAGCTGAACTTGGCTCCTGTATCCTCAACGCCCAGTGAACCCTCCGGTGAGAACCCTCCCGCCGACCCCTCCTCTGACCTTACAAATGCTGAAACCACTGCCCCTGAGGCTTCAAGGACCCGTGGTTCCCGGAGGCAGATCCAGCGCTTGGAGCAGCTGCTGGCGCTCTATGTCGCAGAGATCCGGCGGCTGCAGGAGAAGGAACTGGATCTGTCGGAACTGGATGACCCCGACTCCACATACCTGCAGGAGGCCCGCTTGAAGCGGAAGCTGATCCGCCTCTTCGGGCGGCTGTGTGAGCTAAAGGACTGCTGTTCTCTGACCGGCCGGGTCATAGAGCAGCGAATCCCCTACCGCGGCACCCGCTACCCCGAGGTCAACAGGCGCATCGAGCGGCTTATTAACAAGCCAGGGCCCGATACCTTTCCTGACTACGGAGATGTGCTGAGGGCGGTGGAGAGGGCAGCCACCCGGCACAGCCTCGGCCTTCCCCGGCAGCAGCTCCAGCTCATGGCTCAAGATGCCTTCCGGGATGTGGGTGTCAGGCTACAGGAAAGGCGCCACCTTGATCTCATCTACAACTTTGGCTGCCATCTCACAGATGACTACAGGCCAGGTAGGAAGAAGCTCTTGGGGTGCCTCCTCCCGGAGGTCCTCTAGGTTCAGTGGGCCGAGCGCTCTGACCCTGCTTTCTCACACAGGCATTGACCCTGCACTGTCAGATCCCACGCTGGCTCGCCGCCTTCGGGAGAATCGGACCTTGGCCATGAGCCGCCTGGATGAGGTCATCTCCAAATATGCAATGATGCAGGACAAGAGCGAGGAGGGGGAGAGGCAGAAGAGGAGAGCTCGGCTCCTGGGCACCAATCCCTCAGGTTCCCCTAAAGCCTCCTTGGATTCTGGTGAGGTACGGAAGGGTTCGCACCTGTCACAGAGGTCTTGTCTCCCCCCTGCACTGGCCACCAGGGATTCCAGGGGGCCCCGTGGAGCAGTGTGTGGAAGCAGTGAAAGAACCAAGTCCTCAGGGGTGGAGCCCATTTATGGCCTGCTCACCTAGCATTCCTGAGGTCCCAGGTTCGAGTCCTAGTACTACCAAAAACTCTGGGGAAAGGGATTCTTTAAGAGAGACTCCTTTGTCCCCCAGGGTCCTAGTGGAATGGCTTCCCAGGAGTGCCCTACTACCTCCAAAGCTGAGTCTGATGATGATGATGATGATGAAGAAGAAGAAAGTGAGGAGGAGGAGGAGGAAGAAGAGGATGAAGAAGAGGTCACTGAAGATGAGGATGAGGATCTAGAACAGTTGCAGGAAGATCAGGGGGGTGATGAAGAAGAGGAGGAGGAAGAAGGAGGAGGTACATACGTAAGCAGAACAACCCTCTGGTGTCAGTTCTGCTGGGCCTTTCCTCCCTCCCTCCTCTCCTTCCTGGCTCCTTTGCACAGCCCCTCTGCCCCTGCCTCATGCCGTCTCTCCCCTCTTTTCTTTTCCAGATGATGAAGGAGATAAGAGCCCCAAGTCCCCATCACACACCCCCACTAGGAGGAACTCAGAACCTGTAAAAGGGTCTCCGGGGGAGCAGCAAGACAGAGGACTGACGGGGACACCAGCGTCACCGCTGGCAGGACTCCCAGACGCTCCCAGCACAGCTGTGGAGAGCAGTGGAGGACAGCTCCAAGGGCCACTCCTGGGAGACGAGAGCCCTAGGTCCCAGCTCTCTGAGCTAGAGATGGAGGCCGTGCCCGAGGGTACCACCCCATCCCCTGAGGAAAGGGACATTTCCTCTTCCAGGAAACAGTCAGAAGATGCCCTCCCCACCATCTTGGAAAATGGGGCCGATGTGGTTACCTCTACATCCTTCAATGGGCGTGTCTCTTGTCACACTTGGCGAGATTCCAGTCCCCCGTACAAGAGATCGAGGAAGGAAAAGCAGCTGGGGTCTGGACCACTAGAAAACAGGTAACAGCAGGCAGAGGTCCAGGGTCTGCTGGGAGACACTGGGCACTCGGCATCCCCGGGCCCTCCCGTCCATTCACTCCCTTCTGCCCTTAGCTACACAGAGAAGCTGGCGGCTCAACAGGGGAATGGGAAGAAGGTATGGACCCCGCCTACCCGGTCTTCCCCCTTGGCCTCCATGGCTCCTGTTGCTGATTCCTCCACAAGGGTGGACTCTCCCAGCCATGGCCTGGTGACCAGCTCCCTGTGCAGCCCTTGTCCATCCCTGATATCCCAGACTCCCCAAACTCAGTCTCCCCGGCCTTGTATTTATAAGGTAAGTGTTTCCCGGTGGGGTACTGCACCCATCACATCTCTGCTTCCCCACCCGAGGTGTGTGTGTGTGTTTAGGTTTATTTTGCACAGCATTGTGGCTTATGCCTTTAACCCCACCCCTCAGGAGGCAGAGGCAGACAGATTTCTATAACTTCAGGGCCAACTGTCTTGTCTACACAGTGGGTTCCAGGTCAGTCAAGGTTATATAACTAGATCCCTGTCTTAAAAAAACAAACAAACAAACAAAAAACAGAACAAGGGCTGGAGAGATGGCTCAGTGGTTATGGGCACTGGCTGTCCTTCCAGAGGCCATGAGTTCAATTCCCAGCAACCACATGGTGGCTCACTCCATCTGTGATGAGATCTGGTGCCCTCTTTTGGCCTGCATTCAGGCAGAATACTGTATACATGATTGATAAATAATAAAATCTAATAAACTCATTTATTTTATGTGAAAACGTGTTTTGTCTGCATGTATGTCTGTGTACCACATTTGTGCCTGGTGCTCATGGAGGCCAGAAGAGGGCATCTGATCCTCAAGAACTGGAGTTAGCGATGTGGCAGTGAGCGGCCGGCCATGTGAGTCTGGGAACCACACCCAGGTCCTCGGCAAGGCAGCCAGTGCTCTTGGTGGCTGAGTCATCTTTTCAGCCATCGGTCCTACTTCTGGTTGTTTTGAGACAGGGTCTCTCTATGTAGACCAGGCTAGCCCCAAACTCAGAGATCAGCCTGCCTCTGCTTCCCGTGTGCCGCCACGCTGGCTCGACCTTGCTCGTTTTAATCTCTAACTGGCCCCGCTTCTCCTCTGACTTCTCTGCAGATGAGTGTGGCCACACAGTGTGATCCCGAAGAGATCATCGTGCTGTCAGACTCGGACTAGCAGCCTCCCGCTCTCCCTGCTCCAGAATGTTAGGGATGCCCGGGCAAAGGATGGGCCGAGCTCCTCCCCTTTCGGTGTTTGTTTTGACAGAATCAGATGTTTTAAGTTTTACACGGACACATTAATAAACAATGAATTTCTTTTCTTATTGTACTCTTGTCTTCACCTTGTCTTTCTGCCGTGACGGCGGCCACCTGGTTCAGGGTTAGCCCCGAGTCTGCCCGGGCTAGCCTGGCGCCCTCATCACCCCGAGCCTTCCCTGAGGCTCCCGAGCGCCTTCCTGAGCCGCTTTACTTTCTCACTTTGGAGCGGTCGAGGGAGAAGGCCAATCAGGGGCTGACTCAAGGTTATCTGGCCAATCCGGAAGGAGGCGGGGCCTCCGGGGTCCTGTCATTTGCTGGGCAGAGGGCTGTTGGACCCCGTGAGCCCGCTGTGTCCACCGCGCGGGGCGGAGCCTGAGGAGCGGAAGCCGGGGCTGGTCGGCAGTGGGAAAGGCAGGCTTGCGGGATTAAAGGGGAACGAAGGCTGCGGCCCCATCAAGCCCCGGGTCCTCGGCGGCGGCGGGGACCCGGTACCTTTAAGGTGGAGTGACGCCCTGGCCCTTTAAAGGAGAAGTGTCGGTGTCGGTCGAGTTCTGCCCAGCGGCACGGGAGGGGGTGCCGGCCTGCGCCTTTAAGGTCGCAGGTCCGGGAGGCGGAGCGGAGGCGGAGGGCGGAGGGAGTCGGCACAAGATGGCGGCGGGAGGGGCCGGGGCTGCGGC